TGTGCCGTGTGCGTGTGAAGGTTATCCATGTCTTTATATATATTTTCATAATGGTCTTGTCGCCAGCAGCACCACCTTTCTGGCTGTCACTTCTCGCTGTACCACTTACCAGTTACCGCCCCAGTTCGACCTTGCGGCTCGGCTCGCTTCCCCGAAATCTGACAAACAAGGGGAAGGATAAAACATGAGAATGTCTCGCTCCCTTCTTGATGAATGCGGCTCTTAATGTTCACACATGTGCATGGAGCCCCCGCCTTGCCCTTTCCTTCCTCCTCCCTCCCACACGCGGGCGCGCGCGCGCACACACTCTCACATACTCTCTCTCTTACACACACACGCTCACACTCTCACTCTTTCACACACACACACACACACACACACACACACACACACACACACACACACACACACACACACACACACACACACACACTAACACCCTAACACACCGCGGATTAACAGTGAAAGAAACTACAAATTGGGCATTAGCTGCAACAACAGCGGGTGTCAAAACAGCGGGAGATTTGGCGGCGGCGCGGCAAAGAGGTTAGCTGAGACGTCATCTTCGCATCCATTCATAAATGCGCGTAATGTAACGTCCGCGAGGAGACCCCTGCACAGAGGCTCGGGGGAGGGGGGAAGCATCTTGTTTACATTGCCTGGATTTTCTCTAAGGGTCTTTTCGTAGTAAATTTCTTTCTGGATCTGCTCTTACGTTATAGTATATTCCTCTAAGGGCGTAGTATATTCTAGTATATTTTAGTATATTCCTCTAATGTTTGTGTTACATCACAGGGGGATTGAGGGCCGTGTGCTTGTCTCCAGCGCGCCTGTGAGTGATGCTTGACAACTGTACTTTTTTATATATATTTTATCCTTTCCTTTTTTTCCCGTTTCGCTTTTTTTCGATGTTTGTGTCTTAACTGCCTCAAGTTGGATGACAGGTTGATGAGTGCGGCAGCGATGGGACTTGCCAGTTGTTGACTAGAGTTTCCTTGTCACAACAGCCTCCGACCCGGCGAGAGAAAAGGTCACTCACCTCCCCGGGTCTTGCGTTTTGTCCACTCGTCGGGCGCTCAGTGAGGCGGACGTGGGTTATCATTATGGGTTATCTGGAGCGCGATTCGCTTGCAGGAACTTCGTAAAAAGGCTGTGGTTTCTGATTAGATAGAGAGGGTGATTGTGCTTGTAGGTGGAAAGGTCTTTAGTGGAGGTGTTTGCATGCACGCGCGCGCAATAACAGCGATAGAAAGAGACACACACACCCCGATTTTCTACCTCGTAATCGAAAATATTCTGATAACTTTCTAAAACTTTGTGAATCCGTGCTTGACACAATTTTCTCCTTACGCCCAGATATATCGACACATACGTAAATCACAGAAAATGTTTAAGCCTTTCTCACTTCGTTCGTGTTTGACCTCTTCTCTTTAAAAAAAAAATCAGAAATTGTGATAATGTGTACACACACACACACACACACACACACACACACACACACACACACACACACACACACACACACACACACACACACACACAGACGAATCACCTGTGTTGTCAGCACTGCCATTATTTTTTGTTATTGTTGTTGGTATTACGATTGTTGTTTTGTTCCACTTACACAGATATAAAACGAGGACCTTAAGTGGCACTTGACCAGGTTGGAGTGCCAGACGACGGCCTTCAGTGTACATTGTTATTCATTTAGTCAGTTGTCGATCTCGTTGATTTGCATATTGCCATCTTTAGGTTCGCTTAAAATTCTCGAGTTTTTTTTGCAGGAGTTCTAATCGTTTCCGTATTTGTTTTTAGTATTTTTTTTTCTTTTCTCGCCCTACCCTACCTTGCCTTACCCTACTGTATCCTACCCTACCTTAGCCTACCTTTTCCTTCCCTCCCTTCCCTTCCCTTCCCTTCTCTTTCAACCCTTCCCTTCCCTCCCCTCTCGTCCCCTCCCCTCCTCTCCCCTCCCCTCCCCTCCCCTCCCCTCCCCTCCCCTCCCCTCCCCTCTCCTCTCGTCCCTAAGGTGATGGGTGAAGGCGTTTAAAGGAATGTGTTTACGCAATCCTCTCGCGCACGTAAAAAAAAAAAAAAAAAAAAAAAAAAAAAAAAAAAGCCCGTCTGTCCCCGCATGAAAGATGGCGTCGATGTGCGAGTCGCTTCCGCCTCCCCCCTACCCCCCTTTTCCCCACCCGATCACTTCTCCTTCTCTCCCCCCCCCCCACATCGCTATTCCTTCTCCCCCCCCACATCGCTATTCCTTCTCCCCCCCCTAATCGCTGTTCCTTCTTCCCCCCCCCCCCCATCGCTGTTCCTCCCCCCCCCCCATTGCTGTTCCTTCTCCCCCTCCATCACTGCTCCTTGATCGCTTTTCCCCTCCTTCGCCCCTTCCCCGATCACTCCTCCCCCCCCCCAACACTACTCCATTCTTTCACTACTACTCCTCCTCCCCCTCCCCCCTCTCCCTTCCACCTTACCCTCCTGCGCCCCCTCCCTCCTTCCCCTCCCCTCGGTCACTTCTCCCCGCCCCCCCCACCTTCCCCCTCCCTCACAACCTCAATCACTCCTATCCTCACCCTCTCCCCTTCCCCTCCCCCTTTCCCTTCTCCCTTTCCCTTCTCCCCTCCCCCTCCCCCCTCCCTAGCCTCCCCCATTCACCGCGGAATCGTTCGTGAGTCGATCTGGGCGTCCGTATTCGTTTTCGTGTTCGTTTTCGTGTCCGTCTTCTTGTACGTCTTCGTCTTCTTCGTCCTCGTCTTTGTGTTCGTCTTCTTGTTCGTCCTCGTCCTCGTCTTCTTCTTTTTCGTCCTCGTCCTCGTCGTCTTCTTTTTCGTCCTCGTCCTCGTCTTCTTCTTTTTCGTCCTCGTCCTCGTCCTCGTCTTCTTCTTTTTCGTCTTCGTCCTCGTCTTCGTCTTCGTTTTCGCGTTCATCATCTTCGTCCTCGTCTTCGTCTTCGTTTTCGCGTTCATCATCTTCGTCCTCGTCTTTGTCTTCGTCTTCGTCTTCGTCTCGGCTTTCGAGAGCTGAGCCAGAGCGACGCCCGTGTTGTCCCGGTCCCTTTATTGTGTTGACCCAGATCGCCCTTGTCTGCTGACCGACCTTTATGCTGTCCTTTATTATCTTGACCTTTATCATCTTGTCTTATGAAGTTAGCCTTTAGTTATGTTGTTCTGTTGTCTCCTCCTCATCATCATACTGCATGTCTATGTGTTTTTTTTTGTGGGGGGAGGGTGTAATGCGCGTGAATGTGTGTGTAATTCTTTTAAATTGCTTACATAAAAACGTTTTTTTTTATTATTAGCCTCTGTTTATAAAAAAGTTCAATTTCGTATTGGCCTCTACACAAACGTTTCTTTTCTGATTGGCCTCCATACAAACTTTTTATAATATTATTCTCCATAAAAAAAAGTTTCTTTTCTTTATTGGTCTCCATACAAACTTCTTATAATATTATTCTCCATAAAAACGTTTATTTTCTTTATTGGCTTGCATACAAACGTTTCTTTTTCTATTTGCCTGAATAAAAACGTTTTTCATTATTCTCCATTCACACGTTTCGAAAGCGTCTGTCCGTAGACAAACAGGTGCAGTGGGGCGCTTGACGTTCGCAGACGGATCAAAGCCAGATCGAGACTGTCTATCCAGGCCAGGGTATCCTCCTTCACCCTCCTCATACCCCTCCTCATCATCATCTTCTTCCTCCTTCTTCTTCTTCTTCTTCTTCTTCTTCTTCTTATCCTTCTTCCCCTCGTACGCCCCTCCCCCCTTCCTCTCTTTCTTGTATCCTCCTCCTCCACCTTATCTTCTTCCTCCCCCTTCTCCCCTTCCTATTCCTCTTACTCCTCCTATACTCCCTCCCCCCCTCCCCTATCCTTCTCCCCCATCCTTCTCCTACCTCTCCTCCTCCACCTCCCCCCCTTCCCCCCTCCTCCTCCCCCCCTTCCCCCCTCCTCCTACCCCTCCCCTCCTCCTTTTACGTCCCCCCTCCCCACCTCTCCTTCCTTCTCCTCCTCTCCTTCCCTCCCCTCCTTTTCTCTCTTTCCCTCCTCTCCCTCCTTCCCCTCCTCTCCCTCCTCTCCCTCCTTCCCCTCCTCTCCCTCCTTCCCCTCCTCTTCTCCCTCCCCCTCTTCCCCCTTCCTCTCCCCGATAATTTGTATCGTTTTCCTCCGTGTATCCAGACGCGCCGTGATAGATCTTCGCCCCTGATCAAAGTGGAGGACAATTTTAAATTCAAATATCTATATGACCTCCTCTGCTCACGCCCCTCTTGTTGTCCCGCTGGCTTTCGGTCGGTATCGCTCGCGCCCTCGCTTCGATTATTGAAGCGGGTCGAGGACGGGCGCTGATTTATGAGACGTGAAGGAAAATATGGTAATGGGTGGTGAACGCGGCGCCCACGCGGTCGGCGGGCGGCGCTGGGCGATGGGTGGCTGTGTCGGCCTCGTCGGGGTTATAGCATTGAGGTTAGCATCACAATTAGCATTTTTTTTTATCGTACTTATAATAATTGTTATCTAGATTATTGTTTTCTTATCAAATCAAACACGTGAAAGCTTCTAGTATCGGGAGTCATTTTTAACGCCGTCATCAGTGAGATATTATATATTTTTTTTATCTCTTGTCTTTGATCTGTTTTCCACTTGGACAAACGTCGCTGCGTGCATCAGTACCAGATACGGTTCCCTGTCGACGTCTGCGCTTCTGAAAGCCCCGGGAACGAACGCACTCTTCGCGTCGCCTCCCGTGGACGCACCTTTCTGTAGTGTTGCGTTCTTGTGTGAAATTATTGGGGGATTTCTTTGAATTCCGTCGCCGCGATAAATGTCTCTTTTAGCGCCACAGTTTAAGGTGTTTAATGACGTTGTCTCTCATGATTGTCATTAACCATCCGATTTATGTATCTAGATGGAGGTATAGATGTTGCTCTTGTTGGTTAGCTTTATTGTATGAGTATGTGAGGGAAATATAATAATGTATTTTATTTGTTTCTTCAACAGGATGGCGGTGGCACTTACAAATCTCGCGTTGGCGACGCTGTGGACCTTAGCTGCGGGGGCTGTTCCTCCCGCCCCCCCGCCCGCCGCCGCCTCGCCCAGTAATGCTGTCACGACGTCGCATCCGTTCTTGGCCTCGAAGGAGAGCACCTTCATCAACGCCAGCGAGAGTGCGTCTGTCGCGGGCGGTTGGACGTGCCCCCACGTGGGCGGCGTGCTGGGCATCTCGTGTACCTGCGACGTGCCCCACACGGTGCGGTGTCGCGGCCAGGCGGACCGGCCGCAGGACCTGACGCTGCTCACCCAGACCCTGAACGCGGAGGGCAGCATCTCCCTGCTGGACATGGCCATCCATGGCCTGGGGGAGATCCCGGGGGGCGGCTTCGCGCACATGGAGCTCCTGGGGCTCGTCATAACCACGGCGGGGCTCGAGACGCTGCCCGCCGATGCCTTCGCCGGCATAGAATCGACTCTGGCCGCCCTGGGCCTGCCGAATAACAAGCTCACCGCCATCCCCATCGACGCGCTGAAGATCCTGAAGCACCTGCAGCGCCTGGACTTGAGCGACAACAACATCCAGGAGCTCCCCCCTCACGCCTTCCCGACTCTCCTCCAGCTGCAGAACCTGAATCTGGCCGGCAATGGCCTGCACCTGCTGCACCCGGAGGCGTTCGTGCGCCTGCCACATCTCGTTTCGCTCGACCTCGCCCGAAACCAGCTGGATGCCGCACAGCTCAACGAGAAGACGCTGCGAGGATTGCACGCCCTGCAGCGCCTCTCGGTGCAGTCGAACCTCTTGAAGGGCGCTGTAACGTCCTCCCTCATCACGGGAGCTAAGGGCCTCACCTCCCTTGACCTGTCCGATAATGAACTGACCGCTGTCTCCAGAGGTGCTCTTGGCAACTGCCCCAGCCTGCAGGACCTCGACCTGTCTCACAACAAGATCGATGTGATTGAGGACCACGCTTTCGTCAACTTGAGCCAACTGCACCACCTCAAGTTGTCTCATAACCGGGTCGTGGCCGTGTCGGGCTGGTCTCTCGCCCACCTCCCTCGCCTCACGCACCTCGCCCTCGCCGACAACGCCCTTCGTGCTGTCACTGCCGACTTGGTGCACCAGCTGCCGTCCCTCGTGTCCCTGGATCTGGCAGCCAATGACATTTCCATTGTGCAGCCCCACGTGTTCAGCTCGACGCCAGTACTGCAGCATCTTGTTCTTTCTGGTAAGTACAAGGAAGCATGTTTCCAGCTTTTTTTTCATATGACGCTTAAACACTGGTTGCTTGGTAATGTTCATATAGTTAATGTGAATGCTTGTATACAAAATTAAATGTAAGAAAGTAGAATGATAAAATGTGCTGTATCTCCCTTTCTGTAGATAACCCCCTTCACTGTGATTGCACAATTGAATGGTTCGTCGAGTGGTTAATCGGCCACACACCAGAGCAGAAGAATGCAGTTTGTGCTACCCCGCCAACCCTAGAAAATGCTCCTCTGGTAAGTGTCGAGTTTATCGCCGTTACCCATTTCACAAGCAAGATGACATAGATAAGAAGCTTCCTTTCGAAATATAATCTTTCGTATTAATCATTTTAGGGAATATTGACAGTCATTTAGTTCTGTCCCATGATTAATTCATCTTTGTTAGTATGTTGCTTAAAGGCTCTTTATAGATATATCAAATTATGTGATGCTAGAACCTAATACGATTGTTTTCAACAGATCGAACTAAAGAAATCTCAGCTAGTTTGCTCAGACGAAAACGCCTATCATGATTACTACCATGACTATTATCACGACTATTACCATGATGAGGGGACGGCCGAAGATACACCTGACATGCGGCTGTCGGATGCAGAGATCAGCTTGCAGGTGGCACACTGGATATCCAAGAAAAGCGAAGAATTAAGATTTGCTGATGCCGAGGTGCTGAGCGATAACCAGCCTAGTGTCGAGCTCATATGGAGGGTCGATGAGCGTGCGATCCCGTACTCTTGCGAAGCCGTCTATGTGTACGAGGTGGTGAAAGGAGTGTCCGATTCTCACCAGGTGTTGGCGGAAAAGGTTTCGGCAAACTGCAGCTCTGACAGGACCAGCGACCCTCACCGTGTAGCTGTAACGATTCCTGGAGAAGCACTCGTACCTGGTTCCACCTACAGGTACTGCCTCATGTTGCTCGAAAGGGGAACAGGTGACCAGGAGGCCTTTTTGCCAGGCTGCTCAGAGCCACTTCTCTTGGCCGCTCCTCCATTTGGCCGCACGGAAAATGACATGTCAGTGACTCCGCAAATTACAAGTCTAACTGCCGGGGGAGTTGCTGGCAAATTGGTGGTACATACGCGCGTCGACGGAATCATAGCACCTTGTACTTACACACTCGCCATTATCTCAGGGCACAGAGTTGCAGCGACGAGACAACTCAATTGTTCAGAGGCAAGACACGAATTCCCGACGTTAGTGCCTGGAAAATACATTGCTTGTGCCGATCCGGATATTCCTAGCATAACTCACAACCTCAACCACTTGGAACACTATCTCAGCACGGTCTCAAACGTGACCATAGCCCTCCACCATGCTTTCTCCATCTGCACTCCCACCATAATCGTCGAGCCGTACAAAGAGCAGGTCGTCGGAGGCGAGCCGCTGCTTATACTGCTCTTTACGTTGCCAGGACTCGCCCTTGTGGTCACACTATACGTCATTGCCAGGAGAGTGTGGCGAGGGGGCGGAGTACCCTGGCGCTGGGACCCACGTGCACAAAAGTCTGGCAAATACTTCCTCTACACCGGGGAGGTTGCCACGCCCTCACTAAGCCTGGACCCTCTCCCTGCTGACCCTCCCGAGTCCACTACTCCAGTGTAGCCTTCATCTTCATCACTCCTGCATTCTTGTGAAATATTCCCATGTCCCAATCTACATAATTTATTTCTAGTCCTATAATAGTCAAACCCATTCTGCTGAGTAACTGGTTGCACATTACCTGCCAGGGTACTTGTCCTTGTAGTAGTATGGCAGCAGCCAAAGTGCCATGCAAAATTTATTTGGGAATGTGATGTGATGTGGATGTAGGATGTACATAGTGACATGACATTCAAGCATTTTTCACCAGTGTGCTGTTTGAATGATAGAAAAATAGCTTTACATGACAATTCTAAGAAAAAAATAATGTCTGGTCAGTGAAAATACAGCAGTGACATAAGTGCCATACAATTCCTGGCAGTTATGGAGAAAACAATGCAAACTAGTGTCCAATTACTGTATTATATCTTAAAGTGGAAGAGCTAAGTGTTTACTACAGAAACTTGAACAGTGGAGTTTTTGGATTATGAATATGACACCAAGTATATTGTTTTAGGTTTAGCACTGGTTTTTAGCTTTAAAATGTCAGTGTATTAACAGTTTGATCATCCATCACAGAATGTTTTATGATATTCATTTCAATACACAGTGTACTTACAATATTAACAAATCATTACTAACTTCAGTGTATACTTTTATGTACATGTGTGGAAAATACCTTTGTATGTAATTAAGTATACAACAATATATATGAACAGAAACAAACATCCTGTGCACACACATCCAGTTACACACACTTATGCACATGCATCCACATTACTTCATAGTCCACCAAACAAAACAAAATTATCAAATATCAAAAACTTCTGTGTCACTATTCAGTTACACAGTAGACTATGAGCAGAAATATATGTTTTTTTTTTAATAAGTCAAGAGTACCAGATTTGTATTGTTGATGTAAATAAACATTTTTCATATCAACAGACGTATCACAAGAAAAATAATTTTGTCACTAGGCTTCCTTATGTATGATCTCATGTTCTTGTAACTATACAAAGAGTGCACATTATGCAGTAGTAAATAGAACCTTGTACATGTACTTTTGTATCTGAACGAAACCTTCAAATGTTCACAATTATCAGGTGTTGCAATTGTGTGATGTGAAGTATGTTTCAGTTGTGATTTCCTTCACACTTCATTCATATCTTTTACTGTTAGAATTTTGAATGAAGTGATGAGTAATTTTTTTTTTTTTTTTTTTAGTGTACATTTATGCTGAAATCATTTTTTCAACTTTTTTTGTTTTATATATTATCATTATTATTTTTAAGGTATTGGAAAAAAATATAACTTCAGGCTATGAATCTGTAACAGAGTTTGTATGGACAAGCTTTGATATCTTCATGGACTGCAAGTGTTTCTAATAATTGGTAAAATTGATAGAGTTGAGGCAAATTTATTAGCTTTAACCTTTTCTTTCTCTATGACATCATTATTTGATGTCATAGATTTCAATGCTCATTTATATTTTTATTGTGGAAAAAGATACACTTTTAGTATTTGAATTGTTATGATTTCTGGTTTCTTGACACATGAAGTTTTTTAGATTGACTGAGCATATATATATATATATATATATATATATATATATATATATATATATATATATATATATATATATATATATATATATATATATATATATATAAATATCTTTTTTTTTTTTTTACTGAGTTTTTAACTAAGCTTTAACATATATTTTCCTCCTATCCTGTATATAATCATGAAACATTGATCATTATATATGCATTTCAATATTTTTAAGCACTATTATAGTGGTAATATATAGCTTTATTTTCATCCTATAATACAGAGCTTTGTAAATACATACTTTTAATTTTAGTTTCATATGCCGTACTTATTGAATTATATTTAATGTCTTCATCAACACAAAATTATTATTATTATATCTTTTTCACATTTTGTTTTGCCTCACATTTCATATATATTCGTGTACTTATCAAAAGAATATTATATGAAAAGAAGAAGGAGCAGCCAAAGAAATGAACTTTTAATAGGTAGTTAAGAAAAGAAATGTGGAAATAAAAATTAAAACTAAAAAGTAAAAAATAGTTTTGTAAGAAATTTTCTTCAGTAGGTCAGATGTATACCTTTCATGCATAATTCCTCTCAGATTCCCTTGTGTATTGAATATATATCGTTTATAAATATGGAAATTTGAATGATCATCAACCAGTTAAACTACCTGAAATTATATGATATACTTAAGTCTAATGCACTCAGTTTATATACAATTGAAGGTTTTAAGCCAATAATCATTTTAAAATCTTTGCTGCATCTGTAAGTAATTATATTTATAAAATCAAATATCTTTGCAGCATTTATAGTAAGGGCAATTTCTAACTGCTGTTTGCCTATGATCCCAAAATACATACAAAAAAGTCATTTGAGTAGTCACTTGATTGTGCCATATATTGTATTGTGTATATATGTTAATTATATGATTGTAAATAGTGTGCATATTTTTTTTAACATGAATAAAGCCTTTGTTAATAGATTTATTGTTTCCTATCCTCTATTGCACAAAAATGATGAATACAGATACTGATATCTGAGATTTCCTTGAAAAAATTGTATATGTCACAGCAAAAGGCAAAAAATAGGCCACCATAAGTCTGGTGTTGGACTTGATGAGGTTGGGGGAAACACTTTCATGAGTGGTTTAATCTTAAAAGTAAATTCTATCAATATCAAAACCTATGAACACTCATTGAATTTCTCATAATGTACAGAATTTACGGCCACAAAATCCATATCCATCAGATACATACTTTAGCTACCATTTTAGTGTAAAAAAAATTTAATACCAATAATTTTTATATGAATGAGACGACCATTTCCTCTTTGGCGTTGCTTAAAAAGTTTGTTTTAAATTTGATCTTTTATTCAAGTCCTAAGCAAAGACACTAAAATTTTCCAAGGCATTTGGAAATTCAGAAGAAATTAAATAAGATAGTAAAATGTTAATAAATACAATTACATAAGTTGATATTTAGATACTTTTTCCAGGAATTTCATTTGGCAATTTTAGCCCATTTGCAACAGGGAAAATGAACAAAAAATGGGGAAAATGCTCATTTTTTATATTTTTTGTGAAATGTCTTAACACATAGATGGCTCTGCCTTACCTGATTTCACTTTTCCTTGAATTGGCAGGAAAATGTCTTTCTTACTAGTGCTATGAATATCGATGGTGTTATTTTTATTATAAACATTATAATTACTATAATGTTATAAACATTAGTAACAGCAAAATAAAATAATGTAAAATATTTTCTTAAACTAAAGAAAAGGGTAAATGGGCGAGACAGGCAGTACTCATAACCGGATCATTGGTGTTTTAGTACAAATGAAGCCATCAATGTGAAAAAATAATCAAACAAGTAAACTCACAGTGGGCATGTCACGGATGGGTGACATCCCGTCTCGAATGGGTTAATGGTAGAAAAGTGATATGGGCCTAATTTGCATAAAAAAAAGTTAAATAATCATGAAATTATAGCATTAAAGAAATAAGCAAAATTTTACCCTTTTTCTCTATGGCCTCTTCTACCCAACAGCTATCCAAAAATGTTTTTTTGTCAATTAGGAAAAAATATAGGAAAAAATAAACATCTTGGCCACTTTTTTGTAAATGACCATCTAAATAGGATATGTCATATAATTTCAAAGTGGACTATTAATTAAGAGAGAAGTCAAGTCTTCAATTACATTTATTTGCATATATTGTAGTATAACAACATAGATCAGATATAAGTATTACCATTGTAAATGATAATGAACACCAAAGTTACACTGTCCAATAATTGTCAAAGTATTTTCCGAGACATGCAATCCACTTGTTTTTCTTTCACTGCATTTTGTTCAAAGGCAACTGGGAGTGCAACATTTCTCACAAGGCATAATGAGCAAGTTTCCATTATATAAAGGTTCAGCCACTGATTAATAAGAGCAAAATTAAATATCCGTTTATCCTTCGATTATCATACCAATATTTTCACACAGGAGAATTGAAAACGATTATACTCTTGTCCTCTGAAACACTAACAATTTTGCTACTGTCTTGGCTGTACTTCGCACACCACACCTGTAAAAAGAATCAAGATGATTATCCAGTAACAGTGAAATAAACAAGGAAATAATTTCTTGACTGAATAATAACATGTGCTTAGAGTGAACTATAAATTTTGTTATGGGTTATCAGTTCTGACAAACACATAATGAGAAACTAAGGTTATTCATGAAGAAGACATAATTATGTGAAAATAAAAACACATCATAATGCATTACTTCATTTTCTTTGAGCAAGTCCTTGTGAAATGACAAGAAGCTTTAAAATGCAATAAGAGCAGCTACTCATAACTACAGGTACAGAATTCCCCTTTTTTTTTCCTTTTCAAACAAAACCACAATCTTTGAAACCAAAGCAATATTAATATTTGTACCACAAATATAGGTAAAAATAATACCTGAATATTTATCACTCAAGACTAAATCATGCAGATTCATAACTGACCTGATCGTGGTGGTCTTTGAAGGTGTGCACGCAGTTTCGCTGAGCAAAGTCCCATACCTTAACCGTATGGTCCGACGAGGAAGACACAAAATGCATCTTATCTGGGGCGAAGTCTACACTTAGCACCCAAGATCCATGACCAGAAAGAGTACAAGCAAGATGACTGCTTTTCCTGTTGAAATGAGGAATACATGTGTAATCTATTGTTTTATGAGTGAAACTAAAGGAATTGGCACTTCTAATAAAGGATAAAAAAAAATATCCCTAGAGAGAACATAAAGGAAGTAGACACAGCTGTAATTTATAGTTTGAAAAATACTAGCAAGTTAATTGGAGAGGCATGTTTCTTTTTAGAAATGTGTAAATAAAAAAATTTGCCTAAGCCTAAATATAAACACAGAAATTAATAAATTTAAAAACATTAACAACAACAAAAGTAGCAACGGCTAGTTTCCTTGTTACCTATGGCAGAATAAATGTAGATTTCAAACAAACATAAAATAAAAAATAAAAAATAAAAAAATATAATAATAATAATAATAATAATAATAATAATAGTAGTGAAGCCTCAAACCCACAGACATACACAGGTGCACACACAACCAAGCACAAATGCACTAACCCAAATATCAATATAAACCAAAAAATAATTCCTTCAAAAGTCTCACACTTACACGTCATAGATCTTCATGTGTCCATCATCAGCCGCAGTGAGAAGCAGCTGCGAGTCTGGAGAGAAGGTGATGGACCGAATTGTCATGGCGTGACCCTCCAAAGTATGCACCAGCTTGCCACTTTCAACATCGAACACATTGATGAAACCGTCAATGGCACCACTGGCGACATACTTTCCATCTCGGCTCTGTTAAAAATATTATCCATATTCTATTAGCATAAAAGTCAAGGGCAACACAGTAAGGATCTAACAGGTGATTACCAATATAAATTATCTCATTTTGCCCCAAACAATTCTGCACATCTTGAGTTGAAATATGCAATGTAGTTAAACAGAACACAAGTTGAACATACAAAGAGATTTGATAGTTTATGTTGCCATAATACCACTATATCATTGCATATGAGGAGGATTAATGATAAATGGCTGATTGTATCTCCTATTTATCAATAATATCCTTTGAAGCTCACAATCTCCTATCCTAATCACCTCAGTTTTTTTACTTCCTTCATAAAAGGAATACTTCATCAAGTACATTCTTCAGGCTGCAATACTTACAATAAATACTTTCACCTTAAGCAAACAAGTTAAGCAGCCATCAAAACCTTAAATAAAACTCTTACAAAATAGCACTTACATATGCAACAGAATAGGTGAATCGCCCTCGAGTATCTAGGGTGGTAACATGTCGTCCTCCATCAACAGCATACACATTAATCTTACCAGCATGGTTGCCAGAAGCCACATGGTTCCCATCTGGAGAGAAAACTACGGACCAAGCTTCAACTGGGCCACAGTCAATGGTTTGCAGCTGGAATATAATATGTCATTCCAAATAATGATTAGTATTCAAGGAAAGTGATATGGCATATGCTGGTCTATAAGATAGATGACATTTGGACTGAAAGACATTTCTGAAGTCACCATGCATCCACTGCCTCATATGGGTGACTGAGTACCGTGATATTAATATGACAGCGATGAACAGTACATAAAACACAGAAAGAAAGGTAAAATAAAAGACAATCAAAATGAGCTAAAATACTGCATCTTTACCTGTTCACCCGAGTGGATGTTCCAAAGCCGAATGGTTGAATCGAGAGAGGAGGAAGCAGCCATGGTTCCTTCGGCATTGACATCCACTGAAATTACACCGAGAGAGTGGCCTTCCAGCGTGTGCATGGCAGACAGCTCTCCTTCCACGCCATCACCAGTCCACCGCCACACCTTTACAAGGTCGTCTAACCCACCTGACACCACATACCTTTGCTCCCTGAACAGAAGAGGAAGTCAGAAAAGTAAATTTGATATCAATGCTTGGGATGCTTCATTTAAAATATCAACTCATGCTTGATGATGATACAAAATATACTATAAAACAATCAAATATGTTATATACGAATAATAGAAGTTAGAATTTGCTCTAGCTATATGAATAAATGGTCAGGAATACCAAATTGCATTATAATTTCATTACTTGATACTTGTTATAAAATAATTATCAAGCATAACATAATATTAATTAAGCAATATTTTGGATAATACAATTTAACTAATACATGATACTATAATCAAGGTAATATTTTAAGAATTTCTGAATGACAGTTTTGCGACATTATTTTATTTTTGATGCCTAAAGCTTAACTTTTACTCTGATCTTGGGTTATCATGGCTTTTCTCATTTTGGAAACCATTAAAATATTTAAATAAATTGTCCATACTCACGTATCAGGCAGGTTATCTCTGTCTCTCTCATTTTCTTCATTCTCTTTATTCTCCTCTCCATTTTCTTGCTCTTTGTCTTCACTTGTTGACTCCTTTGATTTCTCCTTGGGTATGTAGTGTCCCCAGGCACAAGCCCAGATACCTTCGGAGTGTGAATTCTCGCGTTTGTGCAGCAGTGAAAACTGAAATTTAAAGTCAAATATCCCAAATAAAAATAGTGTTGAGCATCTTCATGATGACAATGAGCAGGGCTGAGAAGCAGAAGAAACAACAAACCTATAAAATCTGATCTTGCATTTTTACAGAACTAAATATTACAACAACTAAAAGTATAATAAAGGAACTAGAGAAGTCATAACCCAGGGAGTAACACAAACTTTTCTCTTCCATCATCCCTAAAAAATAACACAGCTGCTTTCCAGCTGTAGCAGATGACACCTACTAGACATGTGATGAAACATCATGTGGCAGAAGACAAGTAGCATAGGGTTTGTAATAGATCACCTAAAATGGGTACCTGTGCAAATAATGGCAGCTGGAAATCACATCAGATACAAGATGGTAATTTTCAACTCTAATGAACACACAAATAGTTAATATCTCAAAGGTCCAACATCATATGTTATCTCACAATGCATATGAACTTACTGTCAAATCAATGTTCTTATGCTACTAGTGCCCCTATCTTGTGTACAGCACTTTGCAGGTGACAGACAAACTACATAGTAATACATCTATATCCACACTACTAGCCAGCCAAAATTATTAAAGAAAAATTATTCCACCTTATAAACTTCAGAGACTGGTGGTGTTGCCAGATCACAGGGGAGAAAACCATATCCATCTCTTTAAATGTATTTCTGTAAAGGCCAAAACCCACATTTCCTGGTATGCTAAAGCTAGAACAGTGTCATGCTGAGGCCTTGCTGAAGAATAAGATATGATCTCAAGCTTTCTAGACTATACTCTAGAGGGAAAAAAATATACAGCTTAACCTCAATCACAAAAGCACTTAGTACGTCTCTCGAGTTTTAGCGAAGTGGAATATATCTTGCTTTCCTGGAAATTATCAGAAAAGATGTACCATCCTCTTCCTTTCTCATGCCATTTTAGACGGTTAACTCATAAAAATGGCAAATGCAACTGGCATACATAAGGCTACATTTCAATTTACCAAAAACTTCTTAATGACAGGCGAGTCATCTCATTTCGCCATTCTATCTTTAACAACTAAAGTCGAATATTCAGCGTATCCGAAGTACCTTTACGTCAACATCAGAATGTCATAGGAATCTAGCTGTGCCAATTCAGGAAGAAGAGAGAAATTCACACTACATTTTAATTTTTTTAGCAGAATATGGACCATCCCTTTCATATGTCATCGTCACTGGGAGGCTCCTTTCTAAGCAAATTCATTCATTGCAAACATTTAATTCGTGTCTCGGTCAACAAAAAATCTAAAAAAAATCAGAGGCCATTACTAACCATTGTGCAATATCATCAACACCAAAGAGAGCTGTATAAACTTAAAAATCTCATAAAAGCTGAAAAAATGCAACATACCATCCTGATTTGTTTACGTTTGGCGACAGCGTGGTGGTTCCGCCGGCCGCCGGTAGATGGCTCTGCTTTAAGGTGGATACGGGTGCATTTAAATTAGAGGTGTCATATTTATTCTATCAGATTAGTTATAATATAAATCGGATTATTTTATACGTATTATTCATCTTTAATATTTCATAAATATGCATGTTTCTTCACCCATGTTTATGTGGTATAAACGTTCCTTTACAAGCAATGGAAGTCAAATAATTACCTCACAAATGATAAACCAATACCAACCTCTAAAAATTTAACTTAATAAACGTACATTTCACCTCAAGAGAAAGCAATTCAACAAGTCACCTCTCTCCAAAAGGTTTACGTCCGTCGACCAACCGCCGTGAGATTCGTAAACAAAGATGGCGGAGGAAGCGTCTTAGCGATTTAGGCGGCGTTTGAATAATGTCTTTGTGTGCTTGGAGAGAGACAGAACAAGTATTTTGTTTGTTCTGAAGAGGCTGGAGATACCATGAAGCTCCTAAAACCGCCTTGGATCAACCATGATGGTGAGTAGATCAAGTATGTGAGGGGGAGTTAGTCAAGGTATTGTTTGGGCATGCTGACCTGACCTGACCTTTAGACGTCAAACTATCTGATATAAGGTTACGTTTCAAGGGGTCAACTCTCTTAGGGTATCCGAGGGTCATACTGAAACTGTTACGGGAAGGAATCACAGTGTTCTATAACGAGTAGATTGAGCCGAGAGGTGGCGGTGGAGGTGGCTGGCCTCACACATCTCTGGTGGATCCTGTCGTTCGGTAAAAGCTTTATTTATTGTATTTTAAGGAGAACAGAGTGTGTAATGTCTGTGATTTACCGTATGTGTGTTCTTTATTCCATGGAGGCCTAATTGTATTGAATAGTCTCCGTAAATTGTGTATATATCGAGAGTATTAACTTTGAAAGGATGGGTTGGATGCTGAACATTTGATGCCGTTTTGGAAGACGAGGTTTGGTTTAAATGTAGTTGCCATTAGGTGTACTTTAGACTTAGAATCGTTGTGACTAGAGTCTGTGCCATAGCTTTTTAGTTCTCAGACACCAATGCCAGTGATGATATCAGTCCAGATAGCTGGTGAATGCATGGAATTCACTTGAGAAATTCGAAAATTATTAAAATAAACTGGCATATTTCAGTTAATGAATTGAATGCACATTTGAGAAAGCATCACTTCTGTAGATACTTATTATGTGGGAGTTAAACCAAAGGTTCTATGAGGCCGTCAGGCATCAACTGGCCACATCCATGAAAATTATATTCTATTACAGTCTTTGTACCCAGAGCATTCTTGCAAAGGCATGTATATTATATGCATACTATTGTATGTTAGACCAATTGCTTATTTGAGAAGAGTTGGCCTGTGACATGTACATGCTCAGTCTAGCCAGTATTTACATGGTGTATGTTTATTAGACTTTTGCTGGAGTGTTAGAGATTTTTGTAAGGGCATGACCAACAGTGCCCTAATTTCCACAGATGTTGTCACTATACTAACTTTTTATTTGTTTAGTCTCATAAATACACTTTGTTTAAAGTATACTGGCCAGTAATTTTCAGTGAGATCTCCAGTGTGCAAAGACAAAATTACTCATGTGATGATGTATATTATAATGCTTTGTGATGTGCAGCAACCTATTCTGCCACCTTTGGTTAAAATTTGGACAATTTGTACTTCATAGTGCTAAGAAGCATCACATGTCCTTCTGTTTATCTGGATCATTCTAATAGACTTAATGCTCAGTTTGAGAGGTACCATAGACAGGATATAAAGGTAGTAAGTGAAATTGCAGAAATTCATGTTGTCATTGCCATGTGTATAGTTAAAGGCAATAGTTTCTGTATTTTGTATATAATACAGCTGTTTCTTTCAGGCTTAAAATAGATTATTTATAAACATCAAATAACAGTATTTGAATGCTAAAACTCAAAATATGTATGATCTTAGAAGGTATATCATCTAATTTAAAAACCAGCTTAAAAGGAAATTCACCCGTGGTATAAACTTTATTATAATTGTTATATGTTTTCAGGTGACAAAGCAATCTTCAGTGTTGATCTGCATCCTGATGGTTCAAGATTTGCGACAGGTGGACAAGGACAGGATTCCTCTGGAAGGGTTGTGGTGTGGAACCTGAAACCAGTTGCTCAAGAGAAATATGAGGATGATGAGAAGGTAATAATCATCAAAGGTTTTGTTTCAGTCAAAAGAGACTCATGTCAAACCCATGTAGCAGACTTCTGAGATTTGTTTATGATGGATATTAATGACAAATAGATTGTTACTTTTGTCTATAATTTTCTTTGTTTTGAGAATTCATAGGAAAAAAGTGTTTAAAGCATGTTTTGTATAGTTGCACATGTAGTAAAGTAAATGATAACATAGGTGAACTATGTTTTTTTTTTTTTTTTTTTTTTTTTTTTTCTAGAATCGTAGTTGAGTAGATATATTAGTGATTATGTTTAAAAAAAAAACTTCTTATAATGCATATTTCAAAAGATATTTAGTGTTAGAAAAAATCAAAAGTTGGTCATAAATTCTGCCTTGCTATTGCCATATATTTTAGAATAAGAACGTATACTAATTTTCTGAAATTAATATTTCCTTCAGGTACCGAAGTTGTTGTGTATGCTAGACCAGCACTTGGGATGTGTGAATTGTGTGAGGTGGTCTCAGAGTGGCCGTTTCTTGGCTTCAGCTGGAGACGATAAAGTTATTATCATCTGGCAGCAGAGCAGTTATGGAGGTGAGTCCTTTTTTCCCTTTTAGAGTGCAAAATCACAAGCTAAAAATTAAAAGTTGTCAGTGGGCCAATCACTTGTAAAAATGTCATCATTACAGGGATTTTTAAAAAATAGATGTCGAGACAGATAGTATGTTTAAAAAAATTGTTATTGTCCTGTGAAGATCTGTTCCAAATTATTCCTTCAATGGCAGTTTTAGAAATCTCTCGGTATCACTGACTACTGAGGCTTCTTGCAACTGTCCTGCTGTTTGGCCTGGGAGTTCTCTACATGTAGTTGAACTTTCCAATCGCCACGCTCTATGTCATTGCGATGCCTATAGCCTGCATAATGAGTTAGTTTATTATGATGGCTATAGGCATGGCCCAGCAGATTCGGGTTGAAATATTTTCAAACTATATATCATTTTGATATTCCCATTTATATTTCTGTATATTTTATTAAATCAGTTTTTATAGAAAAAAATTTGATTATACAACTTTCAAGCCAGAAGCATTTAGAATATCCTCAGGTTTATGTCACATGATCATAAAGTTCGATGTTGCTAACAGGTGGAGCTGTATTTGGTTCAAATGTTGTGAATGTTGAATCCTGGCGAAGTGTCACAACACTAAGAGGCCACAACGGAGATATCCTGGATGTGGCTTGGTCTCCGGGGGATGTTTGGCTAGCATCTGCCTCAGTAGACAATAATGTTATTGTATGGAATACTGCAAAATGGCCAGGTGAGTGAGAGGAGATTTCTATATTTTCCTTGATTGTCTTTTATTTTTTATTAGTGTTTTTTAGATTTATTTATTTTTTATATCCTACATATTCATTAGTATTCATGATAGCTTTTGAGATATTGCTTGAGACAGTAAGGCAAAAAAATCAATAAACTAATTGCTGTTCCAGAACAAGTGCAGATTCTTCGTGGGCATACAGGATTGGTGAAAGGTGTTACCTGGGATCCTCTTGGTCGTTACTTAGCATCCCAGGCAGATGATAAAAGTCTGCGGATATGGCGAACAACTGACTGGACCATAGAAGAAAAAATAATAGACCCTTTCATTGAGGTGAGAATCTTCATAGTCCATGAGTGAACCTATTTGTGAGACAGTATTAAATGATTGGTACATGTTTATGATGTGAGTCGATAGATATATTTATGCCTATACTCATCTTCATACTTGGTTTTATTGTGATATATGAACTCAAAGCAAAATGCAATTTTTCCATTACGTCTATCCATAGTGTGGTGGCACAACAACAGTCCTTCGGCCAAGCTGGTCACCCGATGGTCAGTATCTGGTGTCCGCACATGCAATGAACAACGGAGGTCCTACTGCACGGATTGTGGAAAGAGATGGATGGAACACTGACAAGGATTTTGTTGGCCATCGTAAACCCATCACTTGCGTGGTGTGTACCTTTTTTTCCTGTTTTTTTAATCTCCCCTTCAGTCATGTTTTATTTTGAAGCTTTATTTATCTTTTACTGATATATGAATACATAAGACACATGTATGCATAAATGAAAATGTATGCATATATACTTTTTTTGTGTGTGGGTGGGTGGGGGGGGTTAGTATCTTGTATCACTGAGTGGTAGGATGTAAAATATTCCGTTATGAATGCCTTACTTCGAGTATCTCTGATTTACCTTTGCCTTTTGCAGAGGTTTAATCCAAATATCTTGGAGAAAGCTGATCCAAAGACAGGGAAGTCTGTGCAGTACTGTTGTGTGGCAATTGGCTCCAGGGATCGCTCAATCTCCATTTGGTTCACGTCATTGAAGAGACCTTTGGTGGTGATTCATGACATATTTGATGACTCTGTAAGTATTGCTTGTAGATATTTTTGTTTGTGGGGTTGTTCTTTGTTTTCTCTACTCTTTTCTTTTCATTTCTTTTGATCATATAGCTAGATATTCCATTTTCTCCTTGCCTTCGTATTTGTCATAGTTAACAGACTCTTTTGAATATTTACTTGAGGTTTCCAATTTGGCAGGTCCTGGATCTTTCATGGAGTAGTTGTGGCAAGTATCTCATGGCGGTGTCAAAAGATGGTTCCTTGGCCTTCATTAACTTCTCCTCGGATGAGATTGGCCGTCCACTTTGTGAGGATGAAACTGTAAGTAGTTGATCCATATGTTATGTGATTTATAATTGAGAGTGAGAGAGAGAGAGAGTGTGTGTGTGTGCATGTGTGTGCATGTGTGTGCGTGTGCGTGCGTGTGCGTGCGTGTGCGTGCGTGTGTGCGTGTGTGCGTGTGCGTGTGCGTGTGCGTGTGCGTGTGTGTGTGTGTGTGTGTGTGTGTGTGTGTGTGTGTGTGTGTGTGTGTGTGTGTGTGTGTGTGTGTGTGTGTGTGTGTGTGTGTGTGTGTGTGTGTGTGTGTGTGTGTGTGTGTGTGTGTGTGTGTGTGTGTGTGTGATAGAGATAGAGATAGAGATAGATAAGTAGAAAATAGAATTACTGGTATGAAGTAAGAGAAGCCCTTATTGGTTTTCCATTTCCTTGCAGAATAACCTTCACATGAAGTTGTATGGCAAAACAGTATTGACATCAGCTTCATTAGCCAACCCAACCATCATTGAGAATCCAGAGTTCCTTCGTTTACGGGAGGAAGAAAAGGAGAAAGCAAAAGAAGCAAACAGGTATTACTCTTTCATTTTGCAGTCTCTCTTTTTCTTTCTTTCTTTCTCTCTCTCTCTTGCTCTTTCTTTCCTTCCTTCCTTTATTTATTTATTTATTTATTTACTTTTCTTTCTCTTTCTTTCTTTATTTATTTATTTATTTATTTATTTATTTACTTTTCTTTCTTTCTCTTTCTTTCCTTTTTCTTCCTTTCTCTTTCTTTCTTTCTTTCTCTTTCTTTCATTCCTTTTCCTCTCTTTCTTTCTTTCTCTCTCTCTACCTCTCCCTCTCCCTCTCTCTCTACCTCTCCCTCTCTCTCCCTCCCTCTCTCTCTACCTCTCCCTCCCTCTCTCTCTACCTCTCCCTCCCTCTCTCCCTCTCTCCCTCTCTCTCTACCTCTCCCTCTATCTCTCCCTCTCCCGCCCTCCTTCTCTACCTCTCTCTCCCCCTTCCCCTCCCCCTCCCCCTCTCCCTCTCCCTCCCTCCCTCCCTCCCTCTCTCTCTACGCCTCCCTCCCTCCCTCCCTCTCTCCCTCTCTCCCTCTCTCCCTCTACCTCTCCTCCCTCCCTCTTCCTCTACCTCTCCTCCCTCCCTCCCTCTATCTCTCCCTCAACCTCTCCCTCCCTCTCTCTCTCTCCTCCCTCCCTCCCTCCCTCTACCTCTACTTTTCCCTATCTCTCCCTCCCTCAACCTCTCCCTCCCCCTCCCCCTTCCCCTCCCCCTTCCCCTCCCTCTCTCTCTAC